GGATCAGTCCAGCCATGCCGGGCCTACTTGCTGACCCACAGGATTTTTAAAAAATGATTTCATTTTAAGCCCCTAAGTTCTTTTTTTTTTTTTTGAGACGGAGTCTCACTCTGTCACCCAGGCTGGAGTGCAATGGCATGGTCTCAGCCCACTGCAATGTCCGCCTCCTGGGTTCAAGTGATTCTCCTGCTCCTGCCTCAGCCTCCCAAGTAGCTGGGATTACAGGCGTGCGCCACCACATCCGGCTAATTTTTGTATTTTTAGTAGAGAGGGGGTTTCACTATACTGGTCAGGCTGGTCTCGAACTCCTGACCTTGTGATCCGCCCGCCTCGGCCTTCCAAAGTGCTGGGATTACAGGCAAAAGCCACTGCATCCAGCCTAAGCTGCTATGTTCTTTAGGCCACTAAGTTGGTACACAGAAGCGAAGTGCTGCCATAACAAAATACCTAAAACATGTGGCATTAGCTTTGGGAGCAGGACATGGGCAGAGGCTTGGAAAGCATCCAAGAAAACTATTAACACAGGCTGGAAAAGCAGTAAACAAACTGCTAGTGGGAACTGGAAAAGGAGTGAGGAAACTGATATGGCAGCTTGAACAAGGCAACTTGTATTATATATTAGCAAAGCTATTGCCTGCATGAACTTGGAAAACAGAAAATATAGCTGATGAATTTTTGGATCTAGCTAAAGAGATCTCCAGAAAGCCTGTTAAAAGTTTCAGCTGGGCCAGGCGTGGGGGCTCACATTTGTAAACCCAACACTTTGGGAGGCCAAGGCGGGCGGATCATCTGAGGTCAGGAGTTCGAGACCAGCCTGACCAACATGGAGAAACCCCGTCTCTACTAAAAATACAAAATTACCCAGGTGTAGTGGTGCATGTCTGTAATCCCAGCTACTTGGGAGGCTGAGGCAGGAGAATCGCTTGAACCTGGGAGGCGGAGGTTGCAGTGAGCCGAGATTGCTGGCCGCAGTGCTCATGCCTGTAATTCCAGCACTTTGGGAGGCCAAGGACAGTGAATTACTTGAGGTTAGGAGTTTGAGACCAGCCTGGCCAATATGGTGAAACCCTATCTCTATGAAAAATACAAAAATTGGCCAGGTGTGGTAGCGGGCACCTGTAATCTCAGCTACTCAAGGAGCTGAGGCAAGAGAATTGCTCAAACCTGTGAGGCAGAGGTTGCAGTGAGACGAGATCAATCCCAGTCTGATGCAGTGGGACATAGTGACACAGCGAGACTCTATCTCAAAAAAATAAATAAATAAATAAATAAAAAATAAAACAGTGGGGCACAGTGGCTCACGCCTGTAATCCCAGCACTTTGGGAGGCCCAGGCGGGCAGATCACGAGGTCAGGAGATCAAGATCCTGGATAACACAGTGAAACCCTGTCTCTACTAAAAATACAAAAAATTAGCTGGGCATGGTGGTGGGCGCCTGTAGTCCCAGCTACTCAGGAGGCTGAGGCAGGAGAATGGCATGAACCTGGGAGGCGGAGCTTGCAGTGAGCTAGGATCGCGCCCTACTGCACTCCAGCCTGGGCGACAGAGCGAGACTCTGTCTCAAAAACAAAAAACAGGCCGGGCGTGGTGGCTCAAGCTTGTAATCCCAGCACTTTGGGAGGCCGAGACGGGCGGATCACGAGGTCAAGAGATCGAGACCATCCTGGCTAACACGGTAAAACCCCATCTCTACTAAAAGATACAAAAATCTAGCCCGGCGTGGTGGCGGGCACCTGTAGTCCCAGCTACTCGGGAGGCTGAGGCAGGAGAATGGCGTGAACCCGGGAGGCGGAGCTTGCAGTGAGCCGAGATCGCGCCACTGCACTCCAGCCCGGGCGACAGAGCGAGACTCCGTCTCAAAAAAAAAAAAAAAACAAAAAACAAAAAACAAAAAAGAACTGGCAGGGTTCAAATCTCCAACTGGTGTGGTTGCCCAATGCTTCAAAACAGTCATTTCTATTCACCTTGTCATATTTTGTTTTGAGAATAAAAACCTATATAAGAATTTCCTGTACAACACTGATCACAGAAGTATTCTTTGCAACAGTTAAATATTGGAAACAGGAGTCCACAAATTGGGAAACAATGGATGAGTTCATCCATTCAATGGATTACTATGGAAATTATTTTCAGTGGGATAAGTATTGGCTGTTCCTACACCTTTAAAAATAGGGCTGGGTACATACACTGCCAGTAACTTTACTACATTATGATTTTACCGTTAGGGCCTGTCAAAATATGTGTTTGTAGGGGTGTGTGTGCCTATAAAATTAAATTAAATCCCAGTGAGAAAGGAATCCTAAAACAAAAATGGAAGACTCCTGAGTGTGCAAGCTGTGTTTTACCCATCATTAACTGTAATCTACTGAGTGTTCTGCACATAGCAGACACTCAAGTTTGTTGTATGGCATCAAGGAAAAGGAAAAATGCTAAGGAAAAAAATAACATAATGTGCCTGCCAGTTCATCTCATTGTTACAAATTTAACACAAATTTTAATTTATCTTCTTAGGCAAAGGTCCTTGGCAGTAACACCTCATGTCCTAAGATAGTCTTGCTTTGATTATTTTGTATAATTCAGATGTCATGCATATCAAGAGTACCTGGAAATTCGACCCAACGCCCCTGAAATATGTGATTAATCACATGCCTATAATAACACACCAAAGCAAACAATGGAAACTCCTTTGTTACTTAGTTCCTTCAAACCATTTATTTAAGGTTGTGATTCCTTCATGCACCAAACATTTCATGTGTGTCAGACATGAGAGGCACAGAGGTTTCATCTTAAACAACTATTTAAATGCTCATGCCCTTTAATTATTCCTAAGTAAATATTCTGTTAAAAAGCTACATTGAAGAACATGTTGTTTCTGTTTCTGTACAGGATGCAGTTCCGGGTGGACCTACTGAGAACGAAGAAGGTGGCAAAGGAAAAGTCAGCTACCACAAACTTCTGACTTTTCCCAGTCAATCAGAAAGAATGTTTCCCTGATAACACTGGGAGAGGTGAAGAAAGTACACACAAAAAGGCTGGGTGCGGTGGCTCACGCCTGTAATCCTAGCACTTTGGGAAGCTGAGGTGGGCAGATCACCTGAGGTCAGGAGTTTGAAACCAGCCTGGCCAACATGGTGAAACCCCATCTCTACTAAAAATATAAAAATTAGCTGTGCGTGGTGGCACGCGCCTGTAATCCCAGGTACTCCAGGAGGCTGAGGCAGGAGAATCGCTTGAACCCAAGAGGCGGAGGTTGCAGTAAGCCAAGATCGTGCCACTGCACTCCAGCCTGGGCGACAGAGCAAGACTCCGTCTCAGAAAAAAAGAAAGTACACACAAAAAATATTCAGTGTTACCTTGGGAAATGTCCTGAATTGGATTTCTTATGTATTCCTGGTATTAATACTTTCAAATGAATTAAATATTTTAGAAATGAGAAACAGAAGTCTCAGTGTTGCTCTGATAACATCCAGGAATGCATAATCCCCACCACAGGAGTCCACAATTAAGAAATCTCTTTTCCTGTCTAAATGCCACTCAGATTTCTTGATAAGAATAGTGAAGGCAAATCTGAAATAACCAAGTTAACCCATATCAAAAATGACTGTTAACCAGCCTGGCAACTGTGTTGGTGCTTGAGCCACCACACCTGGCCAAGGTTGATTTTTAAATATGCATAAGGGGCCGGGTATGGTGGCTCACGCCTGTAATCCCAGCACTTTGGGAGGCCGAGGTGGGCGGATCATGAGGTCAGGAGATTGATACCATCCTGGCTGACATGGTGAAATCTCGTCTCTACTAAAAATACAAAAAATTAGCCGGGCGTGCTGTCGAGCGCCTGTAGTCGCAGCTACTAGGGAGACTGAGGCAGGAGAATGGCGTGCACCTGGGAGGTGGTGCTTGCAGTGAGCCAAGATGGCGCCACTGCACTCCAGCCTGGGTGACAGAGTGAGACTCCCTCTCAAAACAAAAACAGAAACAAAAACAAAAAACCTTCAGCAAGTCCACTGGCCACCATAATCCTTACACACTGTAGCGACAGTCCAGCCTCTGAAACTAACTATGCTTCCTTGCCATCTCCCACTGGAATGCCTTCCCCCATTCTCCAAACCAGTCAGGGGCAACTGAGACAGCCCTACTTCTAGGAGTCCTCCCCAAGCATTTGAAATCATAAGCATCTGTGCTGTCCCTGCCCTTCATCCACATCACCAAACAATTATGAATGTATGTCTCTTTACTTTTATTTAAACTGTTCCATATGTGTTGTTCACAATTAACTATTTCATGAGTGACTGTGGTATGGATGGAACAGAAAGGAATACTGAGGGAAGACTCCTGTCAGAATGAGCCACTCTTCCAGGACTAGGAATGATCTCAAAGGTAAAATTCAGGTCAGACTATGTTAGGAGTCGAAAAGACCAAAGGGATCATGCCCAACTCAGCATTTCACTGGAGGTTATATAATCAAACAGCAAACTGTTTATCATGAATGCAGGATGTGAGCAAACTCACACTGTGCCTGACACCAAAAGGTTTGCTGAGGGCCATCACTGCCTGGCGCTGGGCTCCTTGAAGTTATCTAGCAGGAAATCTAGCGACCCTTGTTCGAAGGATGCAGTCTTCCAGTTGCGAACCAAATGGCCAACTGACAATTACCTGACAATCATCTCCCCTTTCTCCTTATCTCTTTTACCAATAAATACGGGAGAGTTGTGTAAAGCTCAGGGCCCCCTGACCGCTTCTTCCAAATATACTCTTTTTGTCTCTTGTTTTTTATTCCCTTTGTTCTGTCCACCAGGTCCGTGCAGGTTAAAAGTGGCGCCCCAAACAGCGACAGAATCGGATGCTCTACAAGACTATATCAAACTCCTCCTTGTTCCACAGACGAGTAATGACTAGGACTAGGAATGACTTTGCCCAGTACCAACAAGGCAGCCTCCAGGACAAAAGGTAATGGAATCCATTCTGTTGACAGCCAAGATGGAATTACAGGTAATTCTCACCTCTTTTTCGGCTCTCAGGAGCCCTGTGGCCATTTTTCCTGGTCTCCTGCGTGCTCTTCCTGGAGAAGGGCAAAGTCTCAGAAGACAGATCTGGGGATGTGAAGAGAAATAAGAGAGTGGCCTAGGTGGAAACTGCCTCCCCATGAGGTGAAGCGCAGACCGCTCCAGAGCCCCATAGTTGGGGTCCGGGATGTCACAGAAATCACCGGGGCAGCCAATTCCCATCCAGAGGGGGCCCAAGATGACCCAACACCCTCAAGCTCAGCCGCAAGCTCGGGCCAGGGAGTGAAGCCCTTGTCCCCAAGTAACAGAGTGAAGGCTTGTCTCTAACCCTGTAGGCTCAAATGAAAGGAAAATGGCCTGGAGGTGCCCACAGGAGAGCAACCGAGTTCTGAGCCAGCTCTGCGGCTCCCAGCCTGCGTCCCCGTGAGTAACACAGGGACACGCAGAGGGTCATGCTGACTGCCTATAGGGCACTCACGGAACGCGGGTGCACGCTGCAGATCCTAAAGCCGAAAGTCAGGTAACAAGGTGCAGAGGGGTGGGAAAGACCCGAAGAGGGAGGCCTTCCCGGATCCCAACAAACCTAACGCGCCGGGCCCACCGACCGGACGTGCTTCTGACGTCAACGCTACACACTGAAGGAGGATAGGGAGGGGAGCGGAAGTGACCGCAGAGGCCTCTGGGGATTGTAGTTTCGAAGCTAGAGAGGCTGAGAAGTCGTTGGCTTTGCCCACCACACAGGGTGCCTCTGACATCTGCACAGCGCACACAACCCAGTTTAGGAGCCCACTGTTAAGATGCCCAAGTGACGGTGACAAGTTTATCCTCTGTAAGCCAATGAGATCTGCTGACCTCGAGAGCATCGCGGGACGGCCGAAGGATTCTGGAAAATGTGGTCCCAGCGCTCTGCGGGTGGCCAGTGTGCGCTGACCTTCAGGTGCAGGTGAACTGAGCTCACTACCCAAGTCTCCGCCCTGATGCGCCCTTCCCTGAGCAGGTGCCAGGTCGGGACAGGCGCGGCTCAGGGAGAGACGATGCTTTGCGGGAACTCCCAGCTTGGAGGCGACACCGGCCCTTTGTCCCCTAGAGTAGGAGGGTGTACCAGACAGGGAACCCCAAGGCTATTTTCGGGGGACAGCGGGACTGGCTTTGGGCAAACTCCCGGAATGGAGATGGGGGAGACTGGTCGCGCGTCCCTAGGATTTCAGGGGATGCAGACTGAACTTGGGGTGAACAACAAAAGATCCCCTGGTGGTGGTGAGGATCTGAGGCTTGATCAGGAAATTCCCGAGGTTTTTATTGGAGGCTGGGGTACAGGTGCTGCTTGGAGAAAACTTCTGGAGGATGGGGTGGAGGTGGGGCGGTGTTGGAAAGGAGGCATAATTCTGACCGCTGTGTTCAACACGGGTGTTTTCTTTTTGCTTTGATTTTATTTTTAAAGATATTACATTAAAGTACTGTTTATCTTGATTACTGAGGTTTTTGTGTGTGTGTGTGTGTGTGTTTTTTGTTTTTTGTTTTTTTTTGGTGACTCTTTAAATTCTGTATCCACAGTCCCCAGCATTTACAGAAGTGAGGGCCTGGCTTCTGGGCATCAAGCAGCCAGAAAGTCCGTTATGAGCTTTCTCTGAATTGTTGAATTGTGAGTGAGTGATCTTTTCCTTTCCTGACTTCCTTAATATCCACAATTTCCTCATAACCATCCCTCCAAAGCCACACCCACAAGGCACCTCCAAGACCTATCATGAAGCAGATATTCAAAGATTATTTGTAAATCTTCACACCTCACCCCCTCCAGAATGTCTTCCAACATCCCTTTGCCTGGAGAAGTAAAAAACAAGGTTTGCATGTTGAGTATCAGCCTCTCCCATTGGGTGGGTGTTTAAGAAGGAGGATCAGCCAAGAGCCCTATTCCAGCCCAGGTAAATGACCTGGCCAAAGATTTAATATCTATAAATGTAGAATACTTGTAACAGAACTCGGTGGGAACCAAAGTCAGGCATGGGGCTGGGGCTGGGCTTTAAGGAGCAGAAATGAAAAGGAGGGACTAGAAAACTTCAGAAAGATATGGTAGGGGTGGGGGTGGAGATGCAGTGAGGATGTGGGATCCTGAGATGATCCAAATCCCTATGTTTAGATGTAGGTATACAAAGGGAGTAAAGAGAGACCCAGGCTGATGGGGTATTTGTAATAAATCAAACATAATATAATAGCAGGTCAAGTGATAAGGGGACTCTCAAGTGATAAGGGTCAAGTGATAAACAGTGAAAGGAGCTGTATCAAACTCTACAGAAATTAACAAACATCAACAAGACACCTAAGAAAGCATTTACAGCTGCATTCATTTAAATCAAAGGTGATAGTCACTGAGTGCTGTGGGCCAAGTACAATGATACACTCTCACCTGAGTTACCCTCGTAAATGTTAACCACTTGTCATATCTGTGCTTTAAGGAGTCCTATTTTCCACCCTTAACTGGCTTGAGAAGTGAAAATCCATCTAAATTATAAATGCAGTGGGGAAAAAAAATCTAGTCATGCCCATTAAGGGAACATGTCTAGTTAAAATTAACATAAATAAAAATCAGCAAAAAACAAAAAAGCAAATTGAAAAAATATTCTTTGAAATTAAAAGCCATACAAACTACTGTGTCACTGATGAGTTAAAGAAACTGGCCTGCAAACCAGAAAATACACTGGAAGAAGCAATGGTTAAAATACTTCAGATCTAAACCTGTGGAATTAGCCTACCTCACTTCCAAATATATCAACTTTGGGAGGCCAAGGCGGGCGGGCAGATCACCTGAGGTCAGGAATTTGAGACCAGCCTGGCCAACATGGCAAAACCCCAACTCTATTAAAAATACAAAAACTAGCTGGGTGTGGTGGTCAGTGCCTGTAATCCCAGCTACTCAGGAGGGTGAGGCAGGAGAATCGATTAAAACCCAGGAGGTGGAGGTCGCAGTGAGCCAAGATCGTGCCATTGCACTCCAGCCTTGGCAACAAGAGTGAATTTAAAAAAAAAAAAAAAAAAAGCAAGGTTTCTAGCTCTATACACCTTTCTTTTGAGACAAGTCTTGCTCTGTCGCCCAGGCTGGAGTGCAGTGGTGCCATCTCGGCTAATTTTTGTATTTTTAGTAGGTTTTTGAGACAGAGTCTTGCTCTGTCGCCCAGGCTGGAGTGCAGTGGTGCCATCTCGGCTAATTTTTTTGTATTTTTAGTAGAGCATTTTTTAAAATGCTAAGTATATGTATTTTTTTAAACACAGGAATATATGTAATTTTTTTAAACACAGGAAACAGCACCTTGAGAAGGAGAGAAGGAAAATGGGCACAATCTGCCCTTAGAAAGACACAGCATTTAAATCCACGCATGTGAGAACTCCAGGGTTCAAGGTAAGACTCGGGGTCAGTCAAAACACAGCCTGGCTTAGCACCTATAGCCACAGGATGGCACCAACACCCACTGCTCCAGCCTGAGCTGGCCAGAGAAAGAGAGCATCCAGGAAAAGCTGAAACTTCCCAGAAGGTCCTGAGACCTGTGTGTACCACACTGAAATCCACTGAAGAGGGCCCAATGTGAGGGGAAAAATAACACTGAGGAAACGTAATTTATTTGTGTATTTTTAATAAGATATTTAATACGTGTTCAGGTAGAAGTAGGTACAATGACAGAAAATAAGGTAGAGGAATGTGCTAGACCCCACAGATATGTAATGATGGACAATAAATGACATGATGTGGAGAGTTCACCCACACATGCAGACTTCATATGTTCACATAAACATGTATATGCATGCATCACCCAGTAGAGACAAACTGCACTGACACTGTGAAGTCAACGAGCTTCACGACCTAATCACCTCTTTTTTTTTTTTTTTTTTTGGAGATGGAGTCTCGCTCTGTCCCCCAGGCTGGAGTGCAGTGGCCTGATCTCAGCTCACTGCAAGCTCCGCCTCCTGGGTTTACGCCATTCTCCTGCCTCAGCCTCCCGAGTAGCTGGAACTATATAGGCGACCGCCACCACGCCCAACTAGGTTTTTTTTGTATTTTTTAGTAGAGACGGGGTTTCACCGTGTTAGCCAGGATGGTCTCGATCTCCTGACCTCGTGATCCGCCCGTCTCGGCCTCCCAAAGTGCTGGGATTACAGGCTTGAGCCACCGCGCCCGGCCCTAATCACCTCTTAAAGGCTGCACCGGTCATCGCTGCTGCATTAGGGGTTGAGTTTCCCACGCATGAACTTCGGGGAACACACTCAAACCACAGCAGTCCTCATGGAAACCTTCCAGAAAATCTGCGTGCCTGGCACTCCGGAATCCCTCTTTTCCACCCCTTCTCCCTGCAACGCTAACATCGTGTCCCCTCATCATTTTCCATTCGAGCATAGGAAAGAACACTTTCCTACATTACACTTTACATTCCTGCATTACACATTACACAAAGAACACTACACCCATTTCTTATGAACCTTTCCTACACTAATAATTCCATCACTCAAGATAGAAATTTGCAAAAATAAATTTTCATTTTTGACATGACAATATAGTTTAATGGAAACCCTAAAATACACAGAAAATAAAAATAATCACCAAAAATGTTCCATGAATCAAAGCAACACATAGAGTGAGATCTTATATCCTAAAATATATAGACCTAAATATGTTATTTTTAAAATCAAGGAAGAAACATAAGGAGCTCTATACACACCTTTAAAAATATGCTGTCTAGTTTAATTCTAGAATGAATTTGGAATTCTGTTAAGAAAGATATATTTTAATAGGAAAAGTAAGTCATTAATGTATCAAAGAAAACAATCATTCTTGTATTGCAAATAAATGCCCAACCAAGACAAAAACGCACATCACATCTTATAGGAAAAGACTGAAATGAGGGTGAGAGGAAAACTGTGACCCTTGAATGTAAGACAGAAAAAAATCAGGGCAGGATGTTAAGGAATTGGAAATAATTCTCCAAATTAACAGAATATGAGACAGAAAGAGGAGAGAGAGAGGCAATAGTCTCCCTCCAGGGGTGTGGGGGTATCTCCCTTTCAAGGGGCTGTTTCCTGTATTAACTGACTCCCCATTAAGAAAATATATATATACTGACAAACTATATTGTACCCCATAAATAGTATATGTTTGTTCAAAAATATTTCAAAGAAATTTTTTTGGCTGATTTTTATCTATCTTCTAAATTGTATATATTTATGGGGTACAAAATGATGGTATGACTTTTCATTACAGTGTGGAATGATGAAATCAAATTAACCTACCCATTACCTCAAATACTTGACCTTTTTTTTGTGATGAGAATGCTATTTATCACTTTCATCATCACCTGCTGATGACATCCATGCTAGGGACAGGAAAGGCTCCACACGCCCAACAGACTCCCTCCAATAGACACTGGGGGTGTGAAAGTAGATGGGAATAAAGGAGGAAGAGAGAGCAGTGGGGATGTACATAAAATCACCCTCCAGAGCTGTGCTGTCCAATAAGGCAGCCACTTGCCACATGCGGCTGCTGAGCACTTGAGACTGCTAAGGCCAGGCGCGGTGCCTCATACCTATAATCCCAGCCCTTTGGGAGGCCAAGCCAGATGGATCACTTGACGTCAGGAGTTCGAGACCAGCCTGGACAACATGGTGAAATCCTATCTATACAAAAAATACAAAAATTAGCCAGGTATGGTGGCATGCACCTGTAGTCCCAGCTACTAGGGAAGCTGAGGTAGGAGAATCACTGGAACCTGGGAGGCGGAGGTTGCAGTGAGACAAAATCATACCCCTCACTGTACTCCAGCCTGGGCAACAGAGTGAGACCCTATCACCCTATCTTAAAAAAAAAAAAAAAAGGTCTGGGCATGGTGGCTCACACCTGTAATCCCAGCACTTTGGGAGGCCAAGGCAGGTGGATCAGCTCGGCCTTCCAAAGTGCTGGGATTACAGGCGTGAGCCACCATACCCAGCCTCTTTTTAACTTTTCTAAAGTGACTACTAGAAAATCTAAAATGACGTATGTGTCTGGCATTGTATTTCTACTGGAAACCTCTGCTCCAGAGAGAAATGGTCTCTGGGGAGGCAGAAATACGAGAACCACAAGAGAGGTGGATGGAGGGAAGTGACAGACACATCTGGTGGGTACCTTCAGGTGCTGACAGCGGGAACCCAGGAGATTCGGGTGTGGACAGGCCCCATCTATGCGAAGCAGGAGAGGAGCATGGCTGACACTAGGGGTGCTGAGCTGACATACAGAACTATTCAGCTTTATAAACATGTGAAAAACATACCGCTAAGTCACTGACAACCCACAGAACAAATCGTAACAGAAATGAGAAATACACTTAGGAACAAATGAAATGATATATAAATATCCAGTATGAAAACTGGCTGGCTTAAGAAACAGGCCTTTTCTCTCCAATACAAGTTCAAATTATAAGAGAAATGAGGGCCCAAATCAAAAACCCAAGATTGCTGTGATGCTTCATTTTGAAGCAGGAACCTCATTTTCATGCTGGGTTTGAAGGTGCCCTCTACTGTCCCCTCTATTCTTTGCCCTTTTTGATGGAAAGTTGCCTTTCTTGTTAAGTTAGAAATCCGTAGCAGAGAGAAGACTGAGGAAAAACCAAATTTGGGTATTTAAGAAAGTAAAGTTCAAAATGACCTGCTAAAGAGAATGAATCTTGATGGAAAATATAAAATACTTCTTTATGAACATGAAAGAAAATTCTAACAACCAAAATGTTTGGAATTAGGGTAAATAAAATGGCAGTTTAATCCTCCTGAAGGAATTTTAATTTATCACTAACAGTACTTTAAAGCTAGGGGTAGAAAATTATTTTTATAGCTTTTCGCAAGCATTAAAGCTAAAAATCCAAAATCAGGTCTTTCTCTGATGGGAACGCCTCCTGAAAACAGAAGAAGCCTATAGGACTTTAGCCTGGAAACTACTCAGGGAATCTGGAATATTTCCTCAGGGGTTATCTACAGTTGAAACCTGGCAGTAATTAAAAAAACAAAACAAAAAAAACAGACAACTTTGGGATACGGCTGGAGGTCTACAGGTGGGTCATTTTATATCCTGAGGTCTAAACAAGATGATTATAGCCCCTTAAAATGATGTAAACAAAAGGAGAATAAATTGGAAGAGAGCACAGATGAGTGGTTTACAGGGAGTACCTGCTTTTTTTCCTCTGGTTTTCAGGTCTCCTCGTTGCTGAGGGATCCAGCCCCAGCTCTAGACCAAGAAATGGGAAGATTTTAGAGTGACTAGTGATCTATCATCTACAATTATTAAACATTCTCAGCAGTTTATGCAAAAGATAACAAAACTACTGCAGATAACTAAGACTAGGTAATACATATACTGTTTCCCAAATACCTACCCACAAGCTGAACAATTTTTTTTTTTTGAGACAGCCTTGCTACGTTGACCGGGCTGGAGTGCAACGGCAAGATCTCAGCTCACTGAAATCGCCACCTCCTGGGTTCAAGCGATTCTCCTGCCTCAGCCTCCCAAGTAGCTGGGATTACAGGCGTGTGCCACCACACCTGGCTAATTTTTGTATTTTTAGTAGAGATGGGGTTTTGCCATGTTGGCCAGCCTAGTCTCAAACTCCTGACCTCAGGTTATACACCCACCTCAGCCTCCCAAAGTGCTGGGATTACAGGTGTGAGCCACCAGGCCCGGCCAAGCTGAACGGTTCTAAGCTGCTGGGATCATTGCCTCTATTACCACCATGACATCAGGTCACAACCAAACCATCAAGCATGAAACAGAATGTTTCCACTCCTAATCCACTGTGTGGAAAAGCCCAGAGCTTACCCACTGGGGCGCCGCATCAGAAGAGGCGCACATGCACCGGGGTGTGTTTTTTAATGGAGCGATCAAACTTCCATCCCCACAGCTCCTCTGTTCACAGGCACTGCAGTCCGTGGCCTAATGTCCTTTGGGGGACATAGTGGGAAGGTAACCCACATGCCAGTGGAAAGAGACACTGTGGGACTTTGCCCTGATTTCTCAGGGGCCTTTTCTCTTTTCCCTTTGGGTTATATGTAGACTTCCCCACTGTCCGCCTGACCACTCTCGTGCAGCCCAAAACCATAGCTAAAGTCACCAGCTAGGCTTTCTTGGTGTAACTACTGAAAGGTGAGCCTTACCTGTTCAACCTCTAGAGAGATTCATCCAAAATCTGGACCTACAAGAATAAAAAAACAAGATTTGCCTGAGTATGTCTGGCCTCTCCCTTCCGTGGGATGCCCTTAAGAACCATCAGCCCCTCTTTGCTCAACAACTCCTTGTGACCCTCCTTCAGGATCACAGGGCAAATCCCATTGGCTCCACACACTATAGCACAGTACAGACACACAGAGAAAAAGACCCAAGAGAACCCACTTTAATACAAAGTCAGGGAGGGGTGTCCACCATGAAATGTTCAAGCTTGCAGTGGGTGGCAGAGGTAGTGGGTCCTGAGACTCTCGATCCTAGTGGAGGTGGGAGGTGGGCATTAGGCTTTGAGGAGACGTGTAGGCCAAATTACATCTGTGCAAACTCATGCACAATGAAATTTACACCAGGTCGGGTGAGGTGGTTTAGAAATGACAGAAAGCCGAGGAAGAGGCTGACAGTATGGGCTTCTCTATAAAGTATGAGGACAGTAAATGAGAGCAACAGTCCAGGAAGTGTTTATAGCGGCATTCCTTCAATTAACAGGGCAAAGTTAGAGCAGCAAGGACCAGATGGGGGCCAGGCACTTCCCCTGGGGCAACCGGTGTAAACTTGGAAATCAGTCACCCTCGGTGTCACCATTTTCCTCGCGATGAATTAAATATACAGAGAAGTTCACTGATGGGTTCGGCATCAGAAAGCTGATAAAGGCTGGCTCTGAATCTAAATAGTGGCTGTTGGTTTCCCAGGCATATACCGAACGCTCATTGACTAAAAATCACCCTCACTTGGTAAGCGCAAAGAAACTCACTTTCCACATCCAAGTTATCCGTTCTGGTGGGTATTTGCTCTGTAAATTACATACGACAGAAGAAAAAGAAAATGACAACTCAGGGAAGTAAACACACATCTAAACTCATGAACAGTAAAATACAGGAATACAATCCCCTTGAGAATTCATCAGAATATCCAAAGAAAATGCAATATACATGAGGGTAAAAAGGTCATTTGGCAAAGCCTGCAAAGTAAGTCCAAAATCTGTTTTACAAGGATTTGTTAAAAAAAATACGTATATACGTATGTGTATATATACATATATATGTATATATGTGTGTCTATATGTGTGCGTGTGTGTGTGTGTGTGTATATATATATATTTTAGACTGAGTCTCGCTCTATGCCCAAGCTGGAGTGCAGTGGCACAATCTCAGCTCCGCTCACTGAAACCTCCGCCTCCTAGGTTCAAGCAATTCTCCTGCCTCAGCCTCTTGAGTAGCTGGGATTACAGGCGCCCACCACCACGTCCTACTTAGTTTTGTATTTTCAGTAGAGACAGGGTTTCACCATGTTGGCCAGGCTAGTCTCGAACACCTGACCTCAAGTGATCCACCCGCCTCGGCCTCCCAAAGTGCTAGGATTACAGGTGTGAGCCACCGCGCCCAGCCCACCAACTAAGATTTTAAAGGAATTACGAAGACAGAATCATTACCGTTATAAGAAAATCAAAACTCACTTTGGGAGGCCGAGGCGGGCGAACCATGAGGGCAAGAGATCAAGATCATCCTGGCCAACATGGCGAAACCCCATGTCTACTAAAAATACAAAAGTTAGCTGGGTGTGGTGGCACGCGCCTGTAATCCCACCTACTCAAGAGGCTGACATAGGACAATTACATGAATCCGGGAGGTAGAGGTTGCAGTGAGCCGCGATCATGCCACTGCACTCCAGACTGGCAACAGAGCGAGACTCCGTCTCAAAAAACAACAACAACAACAACAACAAAAAACTAGGATTATATATCATAAAGGAAATCCCAAAACCTCCTTAGCTGGCTGTTTCTCACAAAAGTTACTCCGTATATTATACGTGCCCCAAAAATAAGATTTTAAAGAAATTGGGGGAGAAACTGCTACTAAGGTACCAAAACCAGGAATTTAATTCCTTTAAAACAATTCCAAAGTAACTTGCTATGCCTTTCACAGAAACGTCTCAAAATAAGTGTTTTATTAAGCCTGAGAAGTTGCTGTTGTTAGGACAACCAAAACTAAAAATTGGTTTATTTAGTAACAACAACAACAAAAAGCCATTTTAACTGGCTGTCCTTATCGAACACATCCCACTAAATAATACAACTGGCAAAAAGTGGGATATTTTAAAGGTCGGGGAGCCATATTATAAACATAATCTAAACCAGGAGTTAATTTTATTTAATAAACCTAAACGCGGCAGTCACTCCCTCCCCTCGGGGCATTCTGCAACAAAACACCTGCTGAAAAATAAAAGGGTGTTTTACCTGAGTGGGCTGAAAAGTCCCCGTTTTTATACCTTTAATCTCTAGATCCTATGGGTCAGAGGTCGTGAAACTACATCAGCCCCAGTCTGGGCGCCCATGAGACCTGTGGACGGCCGGAGAAAGGCCTGGACGCAGCCTGGACCCCAGTTTCTGCCGTGGCGATGGCCGACTGAAGGCCAGGACTCCCCGACGCTGACCCTCCAGCGTCCCATGTTTGGCAGGCGCTCGGCCGCACACCCCAAAGTTGCTGAGCCACGATTCCCGCTGTGCGCCTGGATGGCACCTGCAGACCCAGCGTGCGCTGGGCTCCTGGATACTTGGGGGCGGGCTTCCGGAAACGGTGACCAATGGGAAACGCGACCAGCTGTTAATAGGCAGACAGTCCGTATCCAGGCAACACAGAAAGAAGAGAAAGTGGCAGCCAGACTTAAGTAGACAGATCTTTTAGCCAATGGATGTGCAAGATAGGGGAGGTTTGCTCCATATTGGCCATTAAGAAGCGCTTAGGCCGACCCGCCTCCAAGTCCTGGGAGGACAGTTCAAATTATGGAGGAGGGGGCAGGTGCTAGGCAGCAGTGGCAAGGGGAGTAGCGGGAAGTAGGGGGAGCACGAGATCGTGTACCTTTGCCGCTCAGATTACCAAGCCTGTGACTGAGAATCGGTGTCTTCCTTGCAAGGTTTCAATCTGAGGCTCTTGGGAAGAGGGCAGAGTTGGAGACTGATGGAAGCGCGGTGGGGAAAGGAGCGGGTGTAGGGAGAGTGGAGAATGTCAGTCAGGCGGTGTCTTTATTCCTGGCACCTCACTTAGCCTGCTCGAGTTTCTCAATCTATTCCAGGAGCACTCTCTTGACCCTGCAGGGGCCTGAAAGGGAATGTTGGTCGCCAGTGTCTGCTTTCTTGGACTGGATTGGAATTGGTCCCACGAATTTAGGCATTCTGATACATTGCTGCTTTTAGACTCACTTGGTTTTTACATTGTGCTTTCTTTTCCCCTTTCCCTTCAGGAATTTAAAATGTTCTTTGCTCTATCTATTTAATTATATATGATTGCCTTGAAGATTTCGGCTTGAATTAAAATTACATATATGTTTTTTGCCTGTCTTTATTAATATTTAAAAATACTAAAATAACACATGTTCATAATGAAAATGAAATATTACAAATAAATATAAAGGAAAGGCAGTATTCCCCCTCCAGTCCCACTCTTGAAATAATGAGTTAACAAGTTGATGAGCATCTTCCCATGATGTTCTCCACGATTCATGTATTTGCACACATACAGAAGCATATACAGTAGTCCCCCTTTAGCCATGGTTCTACTTCTCCCAGTTTCAGTTACCCACAGTAAATTGTGGTCTGAAAATATTAAATGCAAGATTCCCGAAAGAAACAATTCATAAGCTTTAAATTGTGGGCTGTTCTGAGTAGCGTGATGAAATATCTCACTGTCCTGCTTTGTTCTGCCTGGGATATGAACAATCCCTTTGTTCAGCAGATGCATGCTGTATGCGCTACCCATAGTCGGTGAGTAGCCAACTTGGTTATCAGAATGACTGCCGCAGTATCACAGTGCTTGTGTTTAAGTGACTCTAATTTTTACCTAATGATGGCCCTAAAATGCAAGAGTAGTGATGCTGCCAATTTAGATATACAGAACAGGAGCCCTAAAGTGTTTTCTTTAAGTCAAAATGTGAAAATTCTTGACTGAATAAGGAAAATAAGTCGTGTGCTGAGGTTGCTAAGATCTATGGTAAGAACAAATCTTCTAGGTGTGACAGTGTAAGGAGGAAAAATAAATTTCTGCTAGTCTTGTTCGTTGAACACCAAGCTCAAGGTACAGCCACATGTGTGGTAAGTGCTTAGTTAAGATTAAAAAAAAATTAAATTTGTGCTTGGAAAACAAGCAGAAGTATGTTCTGATTGACAGCAATTGGGTCAATACTACCCACACTTTCAGACATCCACTGCGGGTCTTAGAACACATCTCCTGCAGGTAAGGGAGGGCTACTATGTAACGTTTGTTTTTTTATTATAAAGCATTTTCCTTTTTTAATATAACAATCTGCCTCAGATACCACTTAGGTACAAAGATATTAGGATACCTTTATAGCAGATAAGGAGCTAACTCATTCTTTCTGAGAGTTAAAGTATCTTCCATTATATGAGCATTTAAGATATTAAAGTACTTTTGCACCAAAAATAATGCTAATTTTTTTTTTTTTTTTTTTTGAGATGGAGTTTCACTCTTGTACCCCAGGCTGGAGTGCAATGGTGTGATCTTGGCTCACTGAGAACTCCGCCTCCCCGGTGCAAGCAATGCTCTTGCCTTAGCCTCCCAAGTAGCTGGGCTTACAAGTGTGTGCCACCACGCCCCGCTAATTTTTCTATTTTTAGTAGAGATGGGGTTTCACCATGTTGGCCAGGCTGGTCTCAAACTCCTGACCTCAAGTGATCCACCCACCTCAGCATCCCAAAGTGCTGGAATTACAGACGTGAGCCACCACGCCTGGCCTGTAAATATTATTTTACTTATATGACTTTTTACTTCTGCTGGGACAAACTGCACGAGTAAACAAATATGTGTATGTTGGCCAGGCACAGTGGCTCAAGACTGTAATCCCAGCACTTTGGGAGGCCGAGACGGGGGAATCACTAGGTCAGGAGATCGAGACCATCCTGGCTAACACGGTGAAACCCCGTCTCTACTAAAAAATACAAAAAACTAGCCAGGCGAGGTGGTGGGCGCTTGTAGTCCCAGCTACTTGGGAGGCTGAGGCAGGAGAATGGCGTAAACCCGGGAGGCAAAGCTTGCAGTGAGCTGAGATCCAGCCACTGCACTCCAGCCTGGGCCACAGAGCCAGACTCCGTCTCAAAAAAAAAAAAAAAAAGTGTATGTAATGTAATATATGTATATATAATTATACATGTGAATATACAACTTAATATACACATGTACATAAAATAACATACACAATTTAACATATACACAAATATAGGCTGGGTGCAGTGGCTCACTCCTGTAATCCTAGCACTTTGGGAGGCCAAGGCAGGGGATTGCTTGAACCCAGGAGTTTGAGACCAGCCTAGGCAACATAGTGAAACCCCATCTGTACAAAAAACACAAAAATTAGCTGGGTGTGGTGGCATGCACCTGTAATCCCAGCAACTTGGGACACCAAAGCGGGAAAATCATTTGAGCCCAACAGGTGGAGTTTGCAGTTAGCCGAGATCATGCCACTGTACTCCAGCCTGGGTGACACAGCGAGACTCCATCTCAAACAAAAAGTCAAAAAACAAGTGATGCTGGTGAGGCTGTGGAGAAAAGAGAATACTTATACACTGTTGGTGAGAGCGTAAACTAGTCCAGCCAGTGTGAAAAGCAGCCTGGAGATTTCTCAAGGAACTTAAACAGAGCTACCATTTGACCCAGCAATCCCATTACTGTGATCTACCCAAAAGAAAAGAAATCATTCTACCAAAAAGACAAATGCACTTGTATGTTTATCGCAGCACTCTTCACAATAGCAATGATATGGAATCAACCCAGGTGCCCATCAGTGGTAGACTGGATAAAGAAAACGTGGTACATCAAGCTCATCCAACCCACGCCCCATAGGCTGCAAGTGGCCCAGGATGGCTTTGAATGCAGCCCCGCAATCCACCCTCATCCAAAATGCACAGCAATGATTGGATATGTTGGCTATGTTTTAAAGACCCTTCAAGTAGGAAGTAAAGGGTATAAATGAATGAACAGTGATACTGCAGCAGATAGGATAATAGTCCAAGTTTATTTATAAAATATATCCCATTCTGTCAAATACTGCTAAAAAAAAGAAGGGTTCATCTAGAAGATGTTGAGGTTAGATCACACATTTTCATTGACAGAACTTCAGTTATTTGAACTTTAGCAATCCCATGTGAATTATACTGTATTGTATTCCAAAAATCCCATGCTATCCACATCTATTTGGTTCCTGAGTTCAGATACTAAGAAATACTATGTTATCTAAATCAATTTGATTTTTAAGTTTCAGAAAGTAGAAAGTTTATCAGAATTGTTTTTTCCTAAATTCATAATGTGACAAGTATTTATTTTCAATGGGTTACTAGATTTGATTTGCTAATTTATAATGCTGTATTTTCATAACTGTTTCTGGACAAATTGTTTTGGGTTCTTCTATAGGTTTTAACATCAGGATTATGACAAATTCATAAAAATAGATAATTTGCTATCTCAGTCTATGTCCTGGAAGAGTTTCCCAAGACATTTCATAGATTTCACTTATAAAAATCACTACCTTGGTGTCTTTTTTAGTGTAGCAATTTGACATTTAAAATATATTTTAAGAAAAATTTTATTTTATTTATTTTTGAGACAGAGTTTCACTCTTGTTGCCCAGGCTGGAGTGCAGTGGTGCGATCCTTGCTCACCGCAATCTCCGCCTCCCGGGTTCAAGCCTTTCTCCTGCCTCAGCCTCCCGAGTAGCCGGGATTCCAGGCATGAGCCACCACACCCGGCTAATTTTTTGTATTTTTGTAGAGATGGGGTTTCTCCATGTTGGTCAGGCTGGTCTCAAATCCCCAACCTCAGGTGATCCGCCCGCCTTGGCCTCACAAAATGCTGGGATTACATGCGTGAGCCACCGTGCCTGGCTGGTCTTATTTTTTAAGTAAGTTTATTCTGGAGAGAGGTCTATTAAGATTTTACACCTCCAGTTAATTCTGATGTCATCAACTTATTAAAAATCACAGACATTTTCCAGATTTTCAGATACATTATAAACATGTCTATAATACCAACTTTTAAGTTTGTTGTTTTTAATTTTTTTCTTTTGGTAGAGATGAGGGGAGGGGGGGTCTCACTATGTTACCTAGACTGGTCTTGAACTCCTGGCCTCAAGTCATTCTCCTACCTCAGTCTCCCAAAGTGGTGGAATTACAGGCATGAGCCACTGCACCCAGCCTTAAGTTTTTAAATTGATATCAAATTCACACAGCATAATATTCACCCTTTTAAAGTGTATAGTTGAGTGACCTGTAGTAAACAAAATTGTACAATCTTTACCCATTCCACATTTTCATTACCCCAAATGATACAGCTCTTTTAAGTTTAAATATATAGTCATTTCAATTTCTCATATACAATATTGTTTGTCATCCTTCTTTCACCTCTGGAATCACTAAAGTTTGTCTCCTTTTTTTTCTCTTCCATCAAATATCAAATTTTGGATTTAGATCCAGTTTTTTTCTTTCAATTATTTCTGCCTTTTAAAATAATACTACCTCCTTCCTCCCACAATTCATTTCAGCTTGTTTTAGTTTCTTGGGTTCTATATTTTATTTATTCTTCCTAGAATACAATATATGCATGAACATTAGGTTATAAAACTTCAAATACAACTTTTACTGCCACTCGCAGGTTTTTCAATTGTTTTCATTTTCGTGTACATTTAAATAATGTATATTTTAGGGATTTATTCCTTAGTCCATGTTAATTAAGAGGGAATATTGAATTAATAATCAGATATTTGATGGCTATCCTATTGTACTGCTTCTTCTGGTCAAATAATGTGGCCAGTATGTTTTCTGCGTTTTGGGGGGAAATATTAGAAAAAATGTTATAATCTCTTCCTGCTTTATTGACAGCTGTGCTTTCTACTACTCATCATATTTACAGGGTTTCAGATTGGTATGCTTTTATTTATGTATTTTGAGACACAGTCTCGCTCGGTCACCCAGTCTGGAGTGTGCAGTGGCGCAATCTCAGCTCACTGTAACCTCTAACTACCAGGTTCGAGCAATCCTCCCACCTCAGCCTGCTGAGTAGCTAGGATTACAGGTGTGCAACACCATGCCTGGCTAATTTTTTTTTGTATTTCTAGTAGAGACGGGGTTTCACCATGTTGGCCAGGCTGGTCTCAAACTCCTGACCTCAAGTGATCCACCCACCTTGGCCTCCCAAAGTGCTAGGATTACAGGTGTGAGCCACCGTGCCCGGCCTCAGACTGGTATTCTTTATGTAGCATAAAAGATGAAGTCTGAGCAAAGACTATGCACACATACTTTTTCTCTTCCTTTTAAAATTCCATGCTAAATAATAATGATGGGGAAAGTCTTCGTTATACTCATTACAAGTGTTTGTCTTTTTCCACCATGAATTATAAATTTCCCAAAGGTAAACAACATGGTTAAAATCCTTTCCATAAATCCTAATGAAGATACTTACAATAATGAATATATCACTGATAATAGTGGAAAACTTTTACTAAACCTATATTATGTGATAACAGTTTGAGGCACTTTACATTTATTAATTCAATGACTCTTCACAGCAATCCAATACATACAGCCTGATTATATATACCCAGACATAATTTTTTAAAACACCACTAATGGCCAGGCGCAGTGGCTCACGCCTGTAATCCCAGCACTTTGGGAAGCCAAGGCGGGAGGATCATGAGGTCAGGAGTTCGAGAGCAGCCTGGTCAATATGGTGAAACCCTGTCTCTACTAATAATACAAAAATTAGCTGCGCATGGTGGCACACGCCTGTAATCCCAGCTACTCAGGAGGCTGAGGCAGAAGACTCACTTGAACTTGGGAGGCGGAGGTTGCAGTGAGCTGAGATTGCGCCACCGCCCTCCAGCCTGGGCAACAGAGTGAGACTCCGTCTCAAAAAACAAAACACCACTAATATCTTTAAGAAAACATAATTGTCCGGGCATGGTGGCTCATGCCTATAATCCCAGAACTTTGGGAGGCCGAGGCGGGTGTATCACAAGGTCAGGAGTTTGAGACCAACCTGGCCAACATAGTGAAACCCTGTCTCTACTAAAATTACAAAAATTAGCCAGGCATGGTTGTATGTGCCTGTAGTCTCAGCTACTAGGGAGGCTGAGGCAGGAGAATCACTTGAACCCGGGAGGCAGCAGTTGTGGTGAGCCGAGATCATGCCACTGCACTCCAGCCTGGGCAACAGAGTGAGACACTGTCTCAAAAAAAAAAAAAAAAAAAAAAAAAAAGAGAAGAAAAAAAAACAACAAAAAAATTAATACCTGGATTGATAAACAACACTTTCATAAGTGTTGCTTTCTAGTATGGCATTGGGATTAGGATTGATGTAAAGGAACAAAACAAGCTCACAAGGAGAAAATGTGGATAATTTTAGCAATTAAAATAAATGTTTTAAAAGTAAAAATGAGTATCCAATGAGGTCACCTCTTTTTTTTTTTTTTGAGACAGAATCTCACTCTGTCCTCCAGGCTGGACTGCAGAGGCACCATCTCAGCTCACTGCAACCTCCGCCTCCCAGGTTCAAGCGATTCTCCTGTCTCAGCCTCCCAAGTAGCTGGGATTACAGGCGCATGCCACCATGCCCAGCTAATTTTTTGTATTTTTAGTAGAGACGGGGTTTCACTGTGTTAGCCAGGATGGCGTCAATCTTCAGACCTTGTGATCTGCCCACCTCGGCCTTCCAAAGTGCTGGGATTACAGGCATGAGCCACTGCACCCAGCCGAGGTCAGCTTTTATAGCTGCAAAAATTCAGAGGCAACCATAACGGGAATAGTCATTTTAAAGTCATTAAATATGTCATGAAAATAATAAAAATCCATATTTACTGAAATGGCACTCATGAAATCTTTGGCATGATAAAAGCAGTGAAAGGTACGGCATGCATATCATAATTACACTTCCTTAAAAAAGCAGAGTATAGCATGATTTTCTCTACCAAACTGAAAGTAGCCATCTATAAGTATGATTACAATTAAGTTTGGCTTTTTAGCAAGTTTTTGTTTTGTGATTTTGGTTTGACAATTAAAAATGTAAATTTGTAAAATAAAAAGGCCAGCCGCAGTGGCTCACGCCTGTAATCCCAGCACTTTCGGAGGCCGAGGCGGGTGGATCACCTGAGGTCGAGAGATGGAGACCATCCCGGCTAACATGATGAAACCCCGTCTCTACTAAAAATACAAAAAATTAGCTGGGTGTTGTGACACATGCCTGTAATTCCAACTACTTGAAAGGCTGAGGCAGAAGAATCACTTGAACCTGGGAGGCGAAGGTTGTGATGAGCCGAGATTGCACCATTGCACTCCAGCCTAGGCAACAAGAGCGAAACTCCGTCTCAATAAAAAAGGAATAAAGCCGGGTGCAATTGCACACGCCTGTAATCCCGGCACTTTGGGAGGCCAAGGCAGGTGGATCACCTGAGGTCAGGAGTTCGAGACTATCCTGACCAACATGGAGAAACCCCATCCCTACTAAAAATACAAAATTAGCAGGACGTGGTGGCACACGCCTGTGTGTGATCCTGGCTACTCAGGAGGCTGAGGCAGGAGAATTCCTTGAAGCCGGGAGGCGGAGGTTGTAGTGAGCCAAGATTGCGCCACTGTACTCCAGCCTGGGCAACAGAGTGAAACTCCGTCTCAAAAAATATACATAATAATAATAAAATAAAACAAAATGATTAACACCGACTTCAAAAAGTTAAACCTCCACAAGGAATTTAAAAATATTAAAGGTCACACAATTCAAATGGTGTGATACTGGTGCAAACACAAATACACGGATCAGAAAAGATTGCCCTAAAAACACAAGCAAATATAAACAAGAGTATAATGTGTCATCAAGAAAGTAGAACAAAACAATGAACCAAAGAATTACAGAACAGCTGGCATTGGTATGTGACTGGAGGAGAGAGGGAATGTCAATTTAGACTCCGAATTTATAACCTGGAGTGAATACATTGGATACAAAATTTAAATACAAAGTTTTAAAAAAACTGTGGAAGAGGGTAACTATCAGACATGATTTTTGGTTTAAAAAATGAGGAAGGTGACAGGGGCTTTAATTTTTATTATTCATTAGTATGAATTCCCTGATGACGAATGAGATCCGAGCCACTACTAAATGCCTTCCCACATTCCTTACAGTTATAGGGCTTTTCACCAGTGTGAATTCTCAGATGTCGAGTAAGGTTTGAGCATTTATTAAAGGCCTTTCCGCATTCATTACATTCATATGGTTTTTCATCTGTATGAATTCTCTGATGCTGGAAAAGTTGTGAGTTCTGAGTAAAGGCCTTCCCACATTCAAGACATTCAAAGGGTTTCTCACCAGCGTGAATTCTCTGATGTTGACGAAGCTGTGAGCTCTGAGTAAAAGCCTTTCCGCATTCCTTACAATCATAGGGTTTCTCACCAGTGTGAATTCTCTGATGATTAGTAAGTGCTGAGCCACTACTAAAGGCTTTGCCACATTCCTTGCACTCATAGGGTTTCTCACCAGTATGAATTCTCTGATGTTGAACAAGCTTTGAGCTCTGGGTAAAGGCTTTGCCACATTCCTTACATTCATAGGGTTTCTCACCTGTATGAATTCGCACATGCTGAAAAAGTTGTGAGCTTTTAGTAAAGGCTTTCCCACATACCTTACATGCATAAGGCTTTTCACCAGTGTGAATTCGCTGATGGTCAATAAGATTTGAGCAATAACTAAAGGCCTTTCCACATTCCTTACATTCATAGGGTTTCTTACCGGTATGGATTCTCTGATGTTGAGAAAGGTATGAGCTACAACTGAAGGCCTTTCCACACTCCTTACATTCAAAGGGTTTTTCGCCAGTATGAATTTTCAGATGCCGAGTAACATGTGAACCACAACTAAAGAATTTCCCACACTCTTTGCATTCATAAGATTTTTCACCAATATGAATTCTCTGATGTTGAATAAATTGTGAGTTCTGACTAAAGGCCTTTCCACATTTCTTACATTCAAAGGGTCTGTCTTCATTATTCATTATTTGCTGGAGAGTAAGGAATGTCTGTTGAATAAATGTGGGCATGTATTCAGGAGTGAATATTTCTTGACTGAAATGCCCATTTGGATATCCCAGTTGTTTTGCAAGGCGGCTTCTATATTCCAAAACATCTCCAAAACTGGAGTACTCAAGGCCATGCTTTGTAAGTCCCATTATCTCCCTCTGGCATAATTCTATTTCATAAACTTCCTTCTTTAGAGATAATAACTTGGTTTCACACATCGATTCCAGATCTAAAAGAAAATAAAATGGTAAATGTTTTTTCCTATTTGTGAAAAGTTAAACTTTTATAATAGAAATGGAAAAATTTAAGAATAGTATCTACTAGGAAATGACACAGGGTTCACAAGGATATCTGTGTTATCTGAAAAAATGGACAAGACAGACAAATAAATTAGTAAGATAATGCGGGAAGCAGGGGAAGGTAACTATGCAAATAAGTTACTACAATGATACTCAAATACGGATGTGGATCAGAATCACCTGGAAAGGCTGGTAAATATACAATGATTGGGCTATTTTCCATATTAAAACATGACTAGCCATATATATGATATATGATATACATGTCATATATGATATACATATATCCATATAAGTATGCATGTGTGTATATAAGTACATCATACAATATGTGTAACATGAAGTGGGTCATTTTCTAGCCTCCATTAAAGGTCTCCTGAGAGAAATAAATGCGTACGGGGAAGATTCCTTGGCTCTCAGGTACAATAAAGCCCCACACTGAGCTTCAAAAACACCTGGAATTTCCTGACAGGAGGTCTTTGTTATGCTAATAAGGTAGTTCAAGGTGGGACCTTAGAAAGCTTCAGGGTGGGGTCTGATTACCTGAAACACTAGCTTGTGATTAGAAGGTTGGGATTTTCAGCTGCCTGATCTCTGAGGAGAGAGAGGCTAGAGATTGAGTGGCCAGGGATTTAATCAATTGTGCCTGTGTAATAAAACCTCAAAAAAAATGCTGAGCAGTAAACTCAGTGGAGCTTTCTGGTTGGTAAACACATTGATGTGATAGGAGCAGGACAAACTGACTCCAAAGGGAGAGGGCATGGAAACTCTGTCCAGTTTCAGATCTTGCTCAAACATGTATCCTTTATAATAAAACTGTAGCTTTAAATACAGAGCTTTCCTGATTTCTATGAGTCACTCTAACAAATTATTGAACCTGAGACCTTGGAAACCCCTTAATTTATTGCTGTTAGCTGGCTGACCTGCAGGTGGCCCGGGGACTCCCAAGACTTGCAGCTGGCATCTGAAGTGAGGACAGTACTATGGAAGACTATGAGGGCTGCACATTCTGAATAGTGTCACAGGTGAACTGCAGTATACCCAGTTGGGGTGGAAACAGAATAAGTTCTTTAATAAAGGATACAGTGGATACAATATGAATGTGGTGGCCGGGCATGGTGGCTCACGCCTGTAATCCCAGCACTTTGGGAGGCCGATGCAGGCAGATCACCTGAGGTCAGGAGCTCCAGACTAGCCTGGCCAGCATGGTGAAAGCCCGTCTCTACTAAAAATACAAAAATTAGCCGGACATGGTGGCATGTGCCTGTAATCCCAGCTACTTGGGAGGCTGAGGCAGGAGAACTGCTTGAACCCAGGAGGCGGAGGCTGCAGAGAGCTGAGATCGTGCCACTGCACTACAGCTGGGTGACAGAGTGAGACTCCGTCTCAAAATCAAAAAGAAATTGGTAACAGTGGGTTATTCACATGAGGGAAGAGCTAGATGTAAGTCTAATGTATTGAACGAATTTGATGTAAGTGTGTAAGTGGCAGATAGGGAAACTCAGAATATTTTATATGCTGGGGATTTAATGGAAATATTGTTTGCCTTGGAATTTTGAGATGCTGATCTTATGGGAGAGGAGACTTGCTCATGTACCACCACAGTGAATGAGAGAGAAGACAGCTAAAGTTTAAGGAAGATGGAAAGAAATTAAGACACAGTACAACATACTGCCATAGAAAGATAACAGGAACCAGAACCAGATTGATGAGAGCTGGCTGCCAATTCTGATACTTAATTGTTGTGTGCCACAAGCAATTATTTAACCTCTAAGCTACCATTTCTTCACCTGTAAAAGGGCAATAGTCCTTAACTCATGATTACTGGGGGGTTACAGGAAAATGCATATACATGTTTTGGAGTAAAGTGTTCAGGTATTATTATGAAACAATTTCTTACTAAAAATGGGGATATTAGGCAAATTAAATGGTATGAAGATATCAAAATGAAGCCTATTGGAGTATCTCGAAACAGGAAGAGGGAATTAATTCCAACACAATCTTTTTCCTCCTATCTCTATATGATCTTGCAATAACTTTTTTTTTTGAAACGGAGTCTCACTCTGTCACCAGGCTGGAGTGCAGTGGTGTGATCTCAGCTCACTGCAACCTCCAACTCCAGGGTTCAAGCAATTCCCCTGCCTCAACCTTCCGCGTAGCGGGGACTACAGGCATGCACCACCACGCCCGTCTAATTTTTTGTATTTTAGAAGAGATGGGGTTTCACCATGTTGGCCAGGATGGTATTGATCTCCTGACCTTGTGATCCACCCACCTCGGCCTCCCAAAGTGCTGGGATTACAGGCGTGAGCCACCATGCCCGGCAGATCTTGTGGTAACTTTTATCTAGTTAGGCTCCCAAGTAAAGTTTTAAAACTGCCCTCTTCTGTCTTCCACTGCCAATGTCATCTTCCAAAGCAGAATCAACTCTTTATCCAGACCAGTGAAGTAGCCTCCTCAACTAGTCTCCCCACCAAGCTCTCTCACCCTTTAATCTATTCAGGGAATAATATCATTTGGCTTAGGCTTCCACAGCTCAAAGTCCAAACTCCTCACAATCTCCTGCAAAGGCTGAATGCTGTGGTTCCTGCCTGTCTGTCCAAACCCTGACTCACACTCCACTCCTACTTGATCCTGGGGCCCACCAACACAGGCTTTTAGTCTTTCAAACACACCAAGCTTTTCCCCATCAGAGCCTTCACAGGGATTCTTCTCTCTCCCTGGAGTTTTCTTCTTTAGTAAAACATTAAACAAGACCTAGTGGCAAGCCTACATTAATTCTGAAGTAGGAATGAGCATAAATATTTCAATATGCCTACAATAACAGTAACATAACATGAACGTATCTGTGATTTCCATTAACGTCAAAGTCACAGGAACGACTACTACTACTACTACTATGGTTTGTCCCATACACCATGATAGGAAGAAATGTTATATCTCAATTAGAGGTTATTAAATATAAAGACGTATTTTTGAGCTGGGCACAGTGGCTCATGCCTGCAATCCCAGCACTTCAGGAGGCCGAGGCAGGTGAATCACAAGGTCATGAGTTCAAGACCAGCTTGGCCAATATGGTGAAACCCCATCTCTACTAAAAATACAAAAATTAGCCGGGTGCACTAGCAGGCTCCTGTAATCCCAGCTACCCAGACAGCTGAGGCAGGAGAATTGCTTGAACCTCGGGGGTGGAGGTTGCAGTAAGCCGAGATCACACCCCTGCACTCAAGCCTGGATGACAGAGTGAGACTGTCTCAAAAAAAAAAAAAGAAAAAGAAAAGATGTATTTTTGATTCTCATCCAAGTTTATGGACTCCCTGAATTCTACCTAAAGGAATCCAAAGTTAGGAACCCCTAGAGCAAGAATGATCCTTTACAAATATGATCATGCCATTCTGCTAAATCATTCAATGGATTTACACCTCATTCGGAATAAAATTCAAGGTCCACAAGACCCCAAATCATCTACAGGTACATCCAATTCTCACCCTGACCTGCACCCAGCATGCAAACACTCATAAGCCTGCTACTTTCCTGATCTCCTCTTCTACAATTCCTGCTTTGCTCATTCAATTTCAGCCACAATGGTGGCTGCCAAAAAGCTCTGAACTCTAGTACTTGGTTCTTCCTGTTCCCTTTGCCTGAATCTCTCCTAGCAGATATTTATATTACCTGTTCCCTCACTTCAAGTCTTTACTAAAAGAACACCTCATCAGAGGCCTTCTCTAGCCTCTCTTCATAGCACTTATATATCACTCACCACCTGACATTTCATATACACATGGACATATAATATAGAACTACAACGTATTAATATATGATATATTATTTATACTATACCAATATATTAGTTACATATAGATAAATACAAATGATATATAATTCTAAAAATATATTTATATATTATATAATATTAATGTCAAGCTAATATTGTTTTATACATATATACTTGACATTCATTTTATTTTCTGCTATGGTTTGAATGTCTCTCCTTCAAAATTCAGCTGTTGCCAATGTGATAGTATTAAGAGGTGGGGGCCGGACACAGTGGCTCAAGCCTTTAATCCTAGTACTTTGGTAGGCCCAGGTGGGTGGCTCGCTTGAACCCAGGAGTTAAGAGACCAGCCTGGGCAACAAGGCGAAACCCTGTCTCTACAGAAAATTAAAAAATTAGCTGGGCGTGGTGATGTCTGCCTATGGTCCCAGCTACTTGGGAGGCTGAGGTGGGAGGATCACCCGAGCCCAGGAGGTTGAGACTGTGGTAAGCCATGATCCTGCCATTGCACTCCAGCCTGGGTGACGGAGTGAGACTCTCTCAAAAAAAAAAAAAAAAAAAAAAAAATTTCCAAAAACAAAGAGGTAGGGTCTTTAAGAGATGATCGGGCTTTGAGGACCCATCCCTCAAGAATGGGTTTGGGTGCTCTTATGAAGAGGCTTGATGGAAGGAGTTGGCTCTCTTGCCCCTACTGCCTTCTGCCACACAAAGATGCAGGAAGGCCCTCATCAGATGCCAGTGCCTTGATCTTGGAATTCTTAGCCTCCAGATCTATGAGAAAATAAATTTCTGTTCCTTATAAATTACTCAATGTGAGGTATTCTGTTGTAACAGCACAAAATGGACTAAGACATTTTCTCTCTTACCCTCTAGAATGTAGGCTTCAGAAGCGCAGAACTTTAGAATGCCTTCATGAATACTATAGTCCCAGCCCTTGGACCAACACTTGGTGCATAGTAGTGCTCAATAAGTACTCTTCTGGTTCTCCTACTTCATCCCAAATCTCTCCTGCTCTGTCACCTCTTCCTTTTTAATATAGGCACAGAACCTTTTTTTTTTCTTGGCCCCAACAATATCTCTATACATGGTGACTGCAGTCACTTCCAAGGCTCCACCTATACTTCAATAGGGATTAATTCCACTTCTACATAGTTAGCCTTTGACTTTCTGCTAAACTCTTTATCTCATTTCTCTTTTATACTACTCTACTTTGTGGAAGTCATATATGTATATATTTTAGCACCACTTTTGGACCTTGAGTTCGTAAAGGTAACACAATTAGTAAACTGTAGCACCTGGAAGATTCCCTTACACAAACCAGGAAATTTTAAAAAGTTTGATAAAGGAAACATTGAAGACAGTCTGATAAAACAGGTCACTGAGAGGCAGCTATAATGAAGACCACTACTTGGGCAAGATGTGTGTGTGCATGTGCGTGTGCGTGTGTGTGTGTATTCACCTGTGTGTATACAGATGCAATTCCATTATTTTGGGGAGTGGTAGTAGAAAACATCTGTAGAAGTCTAAAAAATGCAGAAGAGGGGCCGGGCGCAGTGGTTCATGCCTGTAATCCCAGCACTTTGGGAGGCTGAGGTGGGTGAATCAGGAGTTTGAGACCAGCCTGGCCAATATGGTGAAACCCCATCTCTACTAAAAATACAAAACTTTGGTGGGCACGGTGGCACGTGCCTGTAGTCCCAGCTACTCAGGAGGCTGAGGCAGAAGAATAGCTTGAACCCGAGACGCAGAGGTTGCAGTGAGCCGAGATCACACCACTGCACTCCAGCCTGAGCAACAGAGTGAGACTCCATCTCAAAAAAAAAAAAAAAAAAAAAAAATGCAGAAGAGGAAGAAAAAGAATTAGCCAGGCATGGTGGCACAAGCCTACGGTCCCAGCTACTTGGAAGGCTGAGGCAGGGAGACTGCCTAAGCCCAGAAGTTTGAGCCTACAATGAGTTATGATCATGTCACTGTACTCCAGACTGGGTGACAGAGCCAGGCCCTTAAAAAAAAAAAAAAAAAACAGAGCGAGAGTAAAAGAAGCTAGCAAGCAGCTGAATCTAAAATATGGGTAAAAGAGGGTTTTTTTAAGAGGAGAAGTGAAAGGTACCTTCTGCTTGAAATTAAGAGGAGAGTTGGAGAGGAGTAGAAAGAGTGGTAAGTGAGGAAAAGGGCGAAACAGGTTACTTAACAACTATGCTAAAAGGACTTCATTTTCTACACTGGCCTAGTTTCTTGATGGGAGCTTCAGAGAACATCTCAAAGGTGCTGTTTCCTCCTGACCGGCTGAGTTCTGACCTGTCATACCTTTCTCCTGTCCAGTCATTTCTCACTTACCTGAACACAGGCCTCTTGTAAGCTCTCTGCCAACCATCCAGGGCTCTTTCCCTTGTTCCAATAAGGAGATCACTTGAGGCTTAGGAGTGTAAAGTCCTGCTCACAAGAAAAGATATGGAATATGGTTATGCTGTGGGTAAATGAGATCCAGTCCCTTGATGATCAAGGAAGAGATGCCACTACAGGAACAGCCAAAGACAGATGAAGACGAAGCCTCAACCACAGCCCACTGGGGTTGCCCATTTCCCATTCTTCCTTTTCATTTCAGCTCAAACCATTTGTTTGGTAATAAAGAATAGAAATGCAGCTAGTAACTTGAAAAGCAGCTGAGAAATTCACTGTGGCAGAAGCAGACATTCCAGAGGAGAACTGGGAATCACTGGTACGGATGCCCTTACCCATTGAAACCAGATTGCTGTAGTTCTCCAACATCACATCTCTGTATAAGTCCCTCTGAACAGGGTCCAGGCAGTCCCACTCCTCCTGAGAGAAGTCTATGGACACATCACTGAACATCACTGATCCCTGAAACAATAAACATACGTCTTACTTGTGTAATTAAAAAAATATATCAGAGACTACTGTGCTTGTATTGTGGGGTAATACAAAATGAGTAATTATATTGGTGTCACTGAGAACCTGTATCTTTAGATTTCAGAAACAGATGCAAGAGTAGGAAGTTTGTATTAAATTCCTGACTCTGTCCATTGAAAAGGACTAGAAATGATGACTAATCCAGTAGTAACGAGCATCCCTAGTGTCTAGATTGTGGTTTCTTTTCTTTTCTTTCTTCTTTTTTTTTTTTTTGAGACAGAATTTCACTTTTGTCACCCAGGCTAGAGTGCAGTGGCGTGATCTCGGCTCACTGCAACCGCCTCCTGGGTTCAAGCAATTCTCCTGCCTGAGCCTCCTGAGTAGCAGGGATTACAGGCACGCACCACCACACCTGGCTAATTTTTGTATTTTAAGTAAAGACAGGGTTTCACCATGTTGGCCAGGCTGGTCTCAAACTCCTGATCTCAGGTGATCCACCCGCCTCGGCCTCCCAAAGTGCTGGGATTGTGGTGTGAGCCACTGCACCCAGCCTAGATTGTGGTTTCTAAGTATCATTTTCAAATAAAAGAAACCAAGGTTCTTTGGGAAAAGAACTAATTTCATGAAATCCACAAGAGCAAATTTTACAAAATGCACAGGATGAGTCTGAACGTTTAGCTATACCAAAAAGCAAGAAAGCAACCAAAAACTGTCAGGATCATGCTGATAAGACTAGAGGCCACCTTGAAGACACTCCCACTAGCCAACACTGTTACAACTCGCATATCAAATTACTATAATTTTTTTTGTAATAGGATTTATAAATTTAGGGTTTGAAAATCTTACAAAAGTTATCTTAAGCCATTAAATAATTCTATCTTGACAATGACATTGCAAAACTAATAAAATGAAGATACTAGAGATATTATGTAAAAAGTACAGGGAGATGAGGCACATGTTGGGGGAAATCTAGAGAAAATGTGGTATTTGGGTATTTAGATTTTTTTTTTTTTTTTTTTTGAGACGGAGTCTCGCTCTGTCGCCCAGGCTGGAGTGCAGTGGCCGGATCTCAGCTCACTGCAAGCTCCGCCTCCCGGGTGTACGCCATTCTCCTGCCTCAGCCTCCCAAGTAGCTGGGACTACACCCGCCACCTCATCCGGCTAGTTTTTTGTATTTTTTAGTAGAGATGGGGTTTCACCGTGTTAGCCAAAATGGTCTCGATCTCCTGACCTCGCGATCCACCCATCTCGGCCTCCCAAAGTGCTGGGATTACAGGCTTGAGCCACCGCGCCCGGCCTAGACGTTTTATTTGTATTTTTGTTTCATTAGCAACTAATGCTTGAGGCATCTATTTAATAAAATAGATGTGGGCCGGGCACAGTGGCTCACGCCTCTAATCCCAGCACTTTGGGAGGCCAAGGTGGGTGGATCACCTGAGGTCGGGAGTTCGAGACCAGCCTGACCAACATGGAGAAACCCCGTCTTTACTAAAAATACACAATTAGCTGGGCATGGTGACGCGTGCCTGTAATCCCAGCTACTTGGGAGGCTGAGGTAGGAGAATCGCTTGAACCTGGGAGGCAGAGGTTGTGGTGAGCAGAGATCGCACCACTGCACTCCAGCCTGGGCGACAAAAATGAAACTCCATCTCAAAAAAATAAATAAATAAAATAAAATAAAATAAAATAGATGTGCATTTTATTTAATAAAAAGAAAGCTTCTTCCCCTCCTCAATGTAGAAATTGGAACAAAGATATGCCAAACCCCTATTAAGACATTTCCCATGGGATTAAAAAATCCCAGGCCAGGCGCGGTGGCTCACGTTTATAATCCCAGCACTTTGGGAGGTCAACACAGGGGGATCACGAGGTCAGGAGTTCGAGACCAGTTTGACCAACATGGTGAAACCCCGTCTCAACTAAAAATACAAAAATTAGCCAGGCCTGGTGGCGTGAGCCTGTAGTCCCAGCTACTCAGGAGTCTGAGACAGGAGAATCGCTTGAACCTGGGAGACGGAGGTTTCAGTTATCCAAGATTGCACCAGTGCACTCCAGCTTGGGCAAGAGAGCGAGACTCTATATCAAAAAAAATGAAGCGGTGTAATCCCAGCACTTTGGGAGGCTGAGGCGGGCGGATCACGAGGTCAGGAGATCAAGACCATACTGGCTAACATGGTGAAACCTCGTCTCTACTAAAAATACAAAAAACTTAGCCGGGCGGAGTGGCAGGCCTGTAATCCTAGCACTTTGGGAAGCCAAGGCAGGTGGATCATGAGGTCAGGAGTTCAAGACCAGTCTGGCCAACATGATGAAACCCCATCTCTACTCAAACTACAAAAAAATTAGCTGGGCATGGTGGCGGGAGCCTGTAATTCCAGCTACTCGGGAGGCTGAGGCAGAGAATTGCTTGAACCTGGGAGGTGGAGGCTGCAGTGAGCTGAGATTGTGCCACTGCACTCCAGCCTGGGCAACAGAGCTAGACTCCGTCTCAAAAAAAAGAAAAGAAAAAGAAAAAAAAATTTTGAGGAAAAAAGGAAAATGTCTTACTTATACAAAAAATACTAATTAGTTTTGTCAATAATTTATCTGACCAAAACGAAAATAGTTAATGTTTATCAAATAAGTAAAAAGTCAGTAATAATAGTGTTACAACTTCTGAAAAAATTCATAAAATTGAAAAGCAGAGAAAAATTTCTCAGGCCATCAATTTTTCTCCCTTATTAAGGGAGAAAAAAGGTCTTCATGATTCTGCTAAAAGACCTCACCTAACAATGCAAGGGGTAGTCAGGGAATGTCTTAAATCTCTGTCCCATTGATGAATCATCCCCTTTTGCTTGTCCTATGCAGCAAGACTATTTATGGTCACGTTACACAGCAGCTACATGACCTGGTATAACACAACTATAATCAGTTTGCTTGTGCCTGACGCAAAAGTTCTCAACTCTTGGTCTGTGTTATGTCCAAAGCTATCCTTCATCTAATACATTCTAAACTACCCCCATGTGATCTTAGAGCATCAATCAAAGCTACAAAAAAGATATATGTAAAGTTATTTTATTTTTATTTTTTTGAGATGTCGCCCAGGCTCGAGTACAGTGGCGTGATCTTGGCTCACTGCAATCTCTGCCTCCCAGGTTCAAGGATTCTCCTGCCTCAGCCTCCTGAGTAGCTGGGACTACAGGAATGTGCCACCATGCCTGGCTTATTTTTTGTGTTTTCAGTAGAGATGCAGTTTCACCATGTTGGCCAGCCTAGTCTCCAACTCCTGACCTCAGGTGATCTACCCGCCTCCACTTCCCAAAGTGCTGAGATTACAGGCGTGAGTCACCGTGCCTGGCCTTTTACAAATTCTTTAATAATTATTTTTCTGGTGGTAGAATTTTCTACAATATAGATATTACTGGATAAGACTTAAAAGGTTATTCTGTGCTCTGATGGTGTGATCTAAATGACTTATGCATTGGCTGAATGCATTGGCTGAACCATTGTAAACATCCATTATCACTATCCTTAATTCTGAGATAAAGAAAACTTGATGATTCACAGAAATTCCTTACAATCCAAACTTCCTCGTCAACCTAAAATTGGACTTCTCTCCAGGATGTTCTTACAGAGTTGCAGAGATCTGTATCAGCCACCAACCCCATGATCCCCAAAGCTGCCTAAACCAGATTTTGCAACAATCCAACATTTGGAACTACCAGCACCATATTCATCCTATCTTACTGGAGAATGCTACTCTGTACAGATAATCTTGGCTTTTCTATATTCCCATCTAAGTAACTCACACCTTCAACTCATCAAATAATGGTCCAGACAGAGTAAGTTCATTTTACGAATCTATTCTTGCTTCCTTGAGATACTTCATCCCCTATCATAGTGCTTGGGAAAGAGTTGAAAAAAAAGATGCATAGGTATTTATGGAATGAAAATATTGGCCGGGCGCAGTGGCTCAAGCCTGTAATCCCAGCACTTTGGGAGGCCGAGGCGGGCAGATCACGAGGTCAGGAGATCGAGATCATCCTGGCTAACACGGTGAAACCCCGTCTCTACTAAAAAATACAAAAAACTAGCCGGGCGAGGTGGTGTGCACCTGTAGTCCCAGCTACTCGGGAGGCTGAGGCAGGAGAATGGCATGAACCCAGGAGGTGGAGCTTGCAGTGAGCTGAGATCTGGCCACTGCACTCCAGCCTGGGCGACAGAGCTAGACTTCGTCTCAAAAAAAAAAAAAAAAAAAGAAAATATTAATGCTGGTTGATTTATAAAAATAAAAGGGATACTTAGACATGGTATAGAATTATCTAGCTAAGAAGAAATGGGGACCAGGATTCTGAAGGGGAACTCTGTTAGCCAGAAATGTCAGGATAAGAAGCAATTGCTCATGTCTTTTTTTTAAAAAAAAGCCAAATGTCAGGAGAGACAAGAAAAAAGCATCAACTCACCTCAGCCATGGCTTCCAGTACTGCAGACGGTTAGTCTTCCTTGAGGCTGTTCTCCTGAAAAAGGATAGTGTTCTGAGATTGCGTGACTGGGGAAGTAAAATCACCTGAAATCACACTGAGGAGCCAGATAAAACTACCTCCATGCTTCTTGGTCTTAAGATATAACTCTAGTTGAGTGGGAATATGGAGCAGATCCTACTCCTTCCTTAACCTACAAACCCCAGGCTTTAGCTGCAGCAAGATGGATCTGGGTAACTGGATCAAGGGGAGAGACAAAGGACAGATTCATTCTCCCTCATGCAAACAACCTAAGTTCCTGCCTTAGCCAAGGGATTCAGGCTGAACCTTGTCCCACCTCAGTGATGTTGCTCTGAACCCAGCAGTTGAGCTACTATGGCCTGCCCTGGGCTTCCTGACCTACTATGACCCAAGACTGAGCTACCATGACCTCCTTTGCAGCCCTCAGGTCCCAAACTAGACTCATACAAATGGTGCCGTCTCAAAAAAAAAAAAAAAAAAAGAAAATATTAATGCTGGTTGATTTATAAAAATAAAAGGGATACTTAGACATGGTATAGAATTATCTAGCTAAGAAGAAATGGGGACCAGGATTCTGAAGGGGAACTCTGTTAGCCAGAAATGTCAGGATAAGGAAAGCAATTGCTCATGTCTTTTTTTAAAAAAAGAAACCAAATGTCAGGAAGGCAAGAAAAAGCATCAACTCACCTCAGCCATGGCTTCCAGTACTGCAGACGGTTAGTCTTCCTTGAGGCTGTTCTCCTGAAAAAGGATAGTGTTCTGAGATTGCGTGACTGGGGAAGTAAAATCCTCTAGAAATCACACTAGAGGCCAGATAAAACTACCTCCATACTTCTTGGTCTTAAGATATAACTCTAGTTAGTGGGAATATGGAACGAATCCTACTCCTTCCTTAACCCTACAAACCCCAGGCTTTAGCTGCAGCAAGATGGATCCTGGGTAACTGGATCCAAGGGAAGACAAGGACCCAGATTCATTCTCCCTCATGCAAACAACCTAAGTTCCTGCCTTAGCCAAGGGATTCAGGCCAGACCTTGTCCCACCTCAGTGATGTTGCTCTGAACCCATGATTGAGCTACTATGGCCTGCCCTGAGCTTCTGACCTACTATGACCCAAGACTGAGCTACCACGACCTCCTTTGCAGCCCTCAGGTCCCCAAACTAGACTCATACAAATGGTGCCTTTTGGCCAGGAACACAGGGCACTCAGATCAGAAAGACCAAAGACTTTCCTAATCAAGTCTTTTTGTTTCTCAACCCTAAAAAAGTCAACTTCCCTCACCACATGCACACACACAACACCCGCATCCACCCCTAAACACAAAGGGATGCAGGGGGTACTAAGTCTTCTAGCTCTGTTTTATTTAAAAAAAAAAAATATATATATATATATATATATATATATGTTTGTAATACCAGCTACTTGGAAGGCTGAGGCACAAGAATCCCTTGAACCCGGGAGGCAGAGGTTGCAGTGAGCTATGATTGTGCCACTGCACTCCAACCTGGGTGACAGGGTGAGACTCTGACTCAAAAAAAAAAAAAAAAGGCTGGGCCCCGTGGCTCACACCCGTAATCTCAGCACTTTGGGAGGCTGAGGCAGGTGGATCACCTGAGGTCAGGAGTTAAAGACCAGCCTGACCAACATGGAGAAACCTGTTTCTACTAAAAAAAAAAAAAAAAAAAAAAAAAAAAAAAAAAAAAAAACTAGGACTCATACAAAACAGCCTTTTGGCCAGGAACACAGGGCACTCAGATCAGAAAGACCAAAGACTTTCCTAATCAAGTCTTTTTGTTTCTCAACCCTAAAAAAGTCAACTTCCCTCACCACATGCATACACACAACAACACCCGTGATCCACCCCTAAACACAAAGGGATTTGTGGTACTAAGTCTCTTAGCTCTGTTTTTATTTAAAAAATATATATATATATATATATATATATATGTTTGTAATACCAGCTACTTGGAAGGCTGAGGCACAAGAATCCCTTGAACCCGGGAGGCAGAGGAGGCTGCAGGAAATGTGATTGTGCCACTGCACTCCAACCTGGGTGACAGGGTGAGACACCTGACTCAAAAAAAAAAAAAAAAAAAGGTTGGGCCCCGTGGTTCACACCCGTAATCTCAGCACTTTGGGAGGCTGAGGCAGGTGGATCACCTGAGGTCAGGAGTTAAAGACCAGCCTGACTAACATGGAGAGAAACCTGTTTCTACTAAAAAAAAAAATTAGTTGGTGGGCGTGGTGGCACATGCCTGTAATCCCAGCTACTCAGGAGGCTGAGGCAGGAGAATTGCTTTTTGAGGCTGCAATGAGCCGAGATCGTGCCATTGTACTCCAGCCTGGGCAACAAGAATGAAACTCTGTCTCAAAAAAAAAAGGAAAAAAAAGAAATTCAATCTTTTGCTGTTGCCAAAAGGTGAGGCTGTTTTTAAAAATATCTGTGCTCAAAGGACTCCTTTTAAGAGTCTCCTGAAAGGGGATCCCATTAGCCAATGAATGAAAACTTACACAACAATAAACAGAATACTTCTGCCACTCCTCCAGACTATGATAGTCTTTTTTTTTTTTTTTTTGAGACGGAGTCTCACTCTGTCGCCCATGCTGGAGTGCAGTGGCCGGATCTCAGCTCACTGCAAGCTCCGCCTCCCGGGTTCACGCCATTCTCCTGCCTCAGCCTCCCGAGTAGCTGGAACTACAGGCGCTCGCCACCTCGCCCGGCTAGTTTTTTTGTATTTTTTTAGTAGAGACGGGGTTTCACAGTGTTAGCCAGGATGGTCTCGATCTCCTGATCTCGTGATCCGCCCGTCTCGGCCTCCCAAAGTGCTGGGATTACAGGCTTGAGCCACCGCGCCTGGCCTTCCACCACCTCTTGTAAAAGGTCTGACATCAGTCAGGCCCGCCCACAGCCATCCAGAGGCCTAACCGTCTCCCTGTGATGCTGTGCTTCAGCAGTCACGCCCATGGTCTTCTTTCATGTTCTGCCCTGTACACCTGGCTCCGCCCTCTAAATAACAGTAACAAAATTAGTAAAAGTACTAAAGTCTTTAAAATACATTAAAAAAAAAAAATGATGTAAACTGTCCCCTCTCTCTCTCTGCCTCAGCTACCAAATAGGGAAGGGCCCCCTGTCTGGTGGACACATGACTCGCGTGACCTTACCTATCATTGGAGATGACTCTCACTCCATACCCTGCCCCTTTGCCTTATACACAATAAATAACAGCACGACCAGGCATTCGGGGCCACTATCAGTCTCCGTGTCTTGGTGGTAGCTGTTCCCCAGGCCTAGCTGTCTTTTGTTCTCTTTGTCTTGTGTCTTTATTTCTACAATCTCTCGTCTCCACACACAAAGAGAAAAACCCACAGGCCCTGTAGGGCTGGAACCTACACATACTCAACCTATTATCACCTAGGAAGTAAACATTCTCTTAACAACATTAAACCCCTAATAATTACATAGTGATATTAATAAGGGAGATTTAAGTTTTTTAAAAAATGCCTGGCTGGGTACAGCAGCTCATGCCTGTAATCCCAGCACTTTGGGAGGCTGAGGTGGCCAGATCACGAGGTCAACAGGTCAAGACCATCCTGGCCAACGTGGTGAAACTCTGCCTCTACTAAAAATACAAAAATTAGCTGGGTGTGGTGGTGGGCGCCTGTAATCCCAGCTACTTGGGAGGCTGAGGCAGGAGAATCAGGAGGTGGAGGTTGCAGTGCACCGAGATCACGCCACTACACTCCAGCCTGGCAATAAAGCAAGACTACATCTCAAAAAAAGAATAAATAAATAAAAGTTTAAAATACCACTAGCCCAGGTCAATGTATCTTAAAAACAGGGGGACGAGCTGTAGTGAAACTGCAGACCATGCAAAAATTTAAAGCACACATCTTGTCCAATAAATGAACTGACTTACAAAAATTAAAATCTATATTAAAAATAGAAACTTACATGTCTGATGAAGTATAAAAAGAGACTCAGTCTCATGATCAACAGCTTAGGAAACTTAAATGCACATTACTAAGTGAAAGAAGCCAATTCAAAAAGACTACATACTGTATGATTACAACATTCTGGAAAAGGCAAAACTATGGAGACAATAAAAAGATTAGGAGCTGACAGGGAGGGAGGATCAGTCAGGGCTCAGAGGCCTTTTAGAGCAATGGGATTAATATGGATGACATCATAATGGAGATACATGTCATTACACATTTGTCCAAACCCATGGATGTATAACACCAGGAGTGAACCCTAATGTAAACTATAGACTTTGAGTGATAATGATGTGTCCACATGGGTTCATAAGTTGTAATAAATGTACCACTCTGATGGTGAATGCTGATGATGGGGGAGACCATACATGTGTGGGTGAAAGAGACATATGAGAAATCTCTGTACCTTCTGCTCAATTTTACTGTGAACCTAGAAGCACCCTAAAAAATAAAGCATATTAAAACAAATAACAACAAAAAAGTAAGTTCTGTCACATGCTACGTGTTTGAACCCTGAGGACATTATGCTAAGTCAGGGATTTAAGCAATGTATTTAAAATAACTGGTGGCTCAAAGAATAAATTGCAATGGAAGTTAAAAATATTTTATCAGGTCAGGGGATCGAGACCATCCCGGCCAACATGGTGAAACCCATCTCTACTAAAATACAAAAAAAAACAAATTAGCTGGGCGTGGTGGTGCGCATCTGTAGTCCCAGCTACTTGGGAGGCTGAGGCAGGAGAATCACTTGAACCCAGGAGGCAGAGGCTGCAGTGAGCTGAGATCGTGCCATTGCACTCCACCCTGATGAGAGAGCAAGACTCCTTTGCAAAAAAAAAAAAAAAAAAAGGCTGGGTGTGGTGGGAGGCCAAGGCAGGTGGATCACAAGGTCAAGGAGATCAAGACCCTATCTGTACTAAAAATACAAAAAATTAGCTGGTGGTGTGGTGGTCACCTGTAGTCCCAGCTACTCGGGAGGCTGAGGCAGGAGAATGATGTGAACCTGGGAGGTGGAGTTTGCAGCGAGCTGAGATCGCACCACTGCATTCCAGACTGGGAGAGAGAGACTCCGTCTCAAAAAAAAAAAAAAAAAAAAAACTGAATGATAATAAAAAATAACACATCAAGGTAATGTATCAAAGCATTTAACTAATTCATTATTATATTGTATCCCATTACCACTTGGATTATTGTGTGTGTCTACTGACTAACTGCAGTGAATCCTCTTTCTATCTTGAGGTATTGTGATTAGAAAGAAGCCAGTCACAAAAAGACAAATACTATTATATATGATTCCACTTACAGAGGTATCTAAGGTAGTCAAACTCATAGAAACAGAAAATAGAACAGTGGCTGCCAGGGTCCGGGGAAAGAGGGAAATGGGACATTGTAGCTTAATAGTTATAATTCAGTTTGCAAGATGAAAAAGTTCTAAAGATCTGTTGTACAACAATACGAATATACTTAACACTGGAATGTACATTTAAAAATGACTAGCTTGGTGTGGTGGTTCACATCTGTAATCCCAGCACTTTGGGAGGCCAAAGCGGGTGGATCACCTGAGGTCAGGAGTTTGGGACCAGCCTGACCAACACGGAGAAACCCCGTCTCTACTAAAAATACAAAATTACCTGGGCTTGGTGGCACAGGCCTGTAATCCCAGCTATTTGGGAGGCTGAGGCAGGAGATCACTTGAACCTGGGGGGTAGAGGCTGCAGTGAGCCGAGATCGCACCATCGCACTCCAG